ACTAGTTACACTAGCGCCCTCTAGTGTCGAGTAGCAGAACTAGGAGAGTCGAGATCCTTCCAGAAATTTCGGGACCGATATGTACTCGAACATTCTAGATGTCGCTACAGTAGAAGGTTCTGGAAACTATCTGAGGCCCTATATAAGGCCGGTATAGACTACGACCGGGGCAGTATTGAATTGGCGATACAAGAGAATACTTCGAAGCGAAATAACGGCGAACTGTGTTTTATTATTAGTGTGATTTTAGATTGTAATTAGTGTTGTGTAATAAAAGTGTCAATTTTGGTATAATATTATATCTTCCAGTATCAGCGCATGAAAACTTTTAAAATCTCTGAATCCCGAGGTATGTCCATATTAAGAGGCTGAATAGAGCCACATTGATCTGCATGGTGATCGTGATTTTACATCCTTATTGAAAAAAAATGTACTTACCATATAGAGTATTTCAGGTGGCGGTTTGCAAAACACGATTCCACAAAACTCATTCAAAAGAAAATAAAATTGCAAAATAGATTCTTACAAAAAAATAAATTTTCAACTATCTCAGATTTCCATAAAATAATGTTGAGTATAATAAGTACAATTATGTGTCTGTGTGTGAGTGATTTTACTTTAATTTAAATAATTTATTTTGCCCTTCTATATCAAGTAGTGTTATATTATTTTTTCAATATCCAGTCTATAAGTAGTATAGTTTTTTATTATTTTGTTGTATTGCACTGTTTTCAAAATAAACTATTTTAGGTCTTATTGTGTATATAATAGAATGTTACTTTTGGTATGTAAATTAAAACTGAGAAAATTATGAACGAAAATTTATTTCACCGATTCTGAAAAACTATACCCGCTTTCTAGATATGGGATAATTTACTTTGGCGTAGGGGTATAACCACTAACCGTAACCACAAATATGGCATAAAATATAAATGATTAATTTTATGTCAAATAAGTGTGGCAATCTTTATTTTTAAAATAGAGAGCCTAAAGTTAAGTGTAATAAATTAAAATAATTTATATTCTTTAGAGTAAAGGAGTTAAAAATACTTTGTAATAGCGCCATCTTTTAGATCATATACGTAAAGTGATTTTATGGAACAAAAATTGATTAACGCTCAAGGTGGTACGTACAATATACGCTAGCTGGCATAAAGGCGACACGATTCAATTTTAATGTTCTATTTCATTATCTCGCAGAATAAATCTAATTGATATATATATATGTCACTTTTTATATTATGAGATAATTAAGAATACTTGTTTGCGCTAAATGCTACATTTTTAAAACTGCATTACGAGCGCTAGCGTTCGATGGCAACAGGGGTCGCTGTCGGGCCTCTCCTCCCCGCGCGCGTTCGCCCGCTCACGCCCGGTCACCTGATGTGTCAATTAACGGGACGGTTGGCCGAGGCGTCTCGCGCCACTAGACAGTCTGCAATCTCCGTTGAACGGCGTGTCGCGGCGGAGGTCAAAAAAATGCAGTGCGGTCTAGCATGACGTGGTCGTCCGGTATAACCTCCTTTTTTAGTGTCGGTTTTGTTAGTAAATTTATGCAACGACGAGGTTTTTGTTGAGTCTAGAAAAATAGACGCCGTTTGGTTGTCCTAGTGCGTTCACGCGAAGACGAAGCAGTAATAATTTGATTGATTAACCTAAATTCGTTGGCAAGTAATTTACGTAAACTGTATAGTGAATGCCGATTGAAGTGCTTGACAATAATACTTTGCGTCGAGTAGTTGCTTGTGGCATTGGATTTAACTCGGAGATATTTTCCGGTGTCGGTTAAGAACCTAAGATTTGTGACCCGCGAGAAACAGTGTTCGTATTAGATTATAGATTTGTGCTAATGAACTCTGAAAGTTGTGACTAGAGAAGGGATCGCGTTTTTGCTCTTGGTTATAATCTGGTTGCTACGTGAAACGGAAATGACCTTTGATCCGCCCGTTCGTTATTCGTGTGTTACGTTCTTGATTATAAGTAACGGGATTTAGTTGCGTTTTGAAGTTAGTTAAATGTACAATAAAGTTGATAGACTGACATAGTGAATTGAAGAAAGAAATTGTCCATAGGTGACGCCGCTGGAGAATACCACACCGTTGAGCGATGCTGGAGTCCGGGTTGCTGCCGACTAAAGGGGTTGATTCAGGCCCCACATTTTTACACACTCACAAACACCACTTACATGCACTACACCTATCGCCTGACCGAGCCTTGTGACCAGTCTCCACTTCTGAATCAGGTAATTCGCATTAAGTACCTAGTCCATATATATATATATATATATTAAATATCCATAGGCATTTGAGCCCCACACTTAGTTGTCCGTTGAATCTAACAGCTGTATGGGCCCCACGCTTCCACTGCTGCGTCGAGTAGGTAGATAATTCTTATCACGTAATCGGATAATTATTGTTATCGTATAATTATAGTAGATTAATTGTCGAAGGGTCGGTTGTCTGAGTGAGGCATTTTTCTGTCCAGTAACAGGACTTATTTAGGTGCTGCGATGTCCAGGAAGGGCATCCAGAGGAGGTTCGACCCTCCGGCTTGCCCACATTGGGCCGGTATTTTTGAGGCAGTGGTTAAGGTTGCAAGATCTGATGGGTTACCTAAGGTGGCCTGGTTTCAGTTGTAGATTCGGTCTTGCAACGTGCCGTCGCGACTCTGTCCCGCTTGCCGGTTTGCTCGCGGACATAAGTCCTTATGTCCGGGACGGGGGTTTGTTTAGGCCCAAAAATGGTCATTTGAGACGGCATCCAATCGCCTTCGACTTAGCGAATCGCCCGATGGTGTTAGGTGTCACGCGCGTCGCGGGGTGGAGGCATCAGTATGCAGCTTCCCAGCGTTTGGCGCTCATGGGAGAAAACAGTAGCTTGAGAGCGACGGTGCGGTCAATTAGCGTATTTCGGAGACCGCTGCACATATTTCGCGCGACCAGTTGTTTTGGATTTATGGTCTAGATTTAGTATTTGTGCGCGTTACTTCGCTACTGAATGTGGTTTCGTGAAGACCGCCTCGGTTTAGTTTGTCTAATTTGTACGTTCGCGACAAGAGGCTTATTTTGAATTTCAGTGATTAGAGTAATTTCGTTGCAATTGTACCGTCGCGTTAAGAGCCTTTTGTGTGTTGACTCTTTAGTTACTTGCGTGTCAGCTAGGTTGATTTTGAATTCTTATTGCGGCGTAGTATTTAATATAGTACGAAGGAATTTAGTTGTTGGTTGTAACGCTGAACTTTGTGACTCGTGAAGAGATCGCGTTAGTTCCCTATTTGTAATTTGATGATAAATGAATCCGGAACCTTGAATATTGAACTTTGAACTACTGTTCGTTACTTGTGTTGGGTATCACGTGTTTGATTTTACGATGAACGTTGAATTAGTTGAGTTGAAGTTAGTTAAATGTACCATTTGGGCCCGTACCCTCAGCTGCCCGTCGAGGAGGCTACTATGGGCCTTAGCCAAGGAGATCTTTGCAGGGGCAGCTGGGGGCCGTAACAATACTTATATTACATAAATAATAACAATATAATAATAACAATATAAATCAATATTTGGAAATTCGTTCATAAATAGCGTATCACCATGTGATAGTGACTTCTATTCAGAACGAAGATATTAACAAATTTATAGATATTGAAATATATAGACACAAAATCGGATTTTCATATCCAATACATAGATACGATTTGATATAGGGTAAAAGTGATATTACCCATGCTTAAATTAAACTATTAATAGCTTATCTACCTACAACATCTTAAAGCTAGACTACTAATATTGTTTCGTGAAGACTGCTATATAGCTAGTTTTGTTGATAAATACAGGTACTTACTATAACTAAGATTAAAATCAAAAATACATTAGTATGTGATACATACTAAATATACCTTTTTATTTGTCCTACATAATAAGTTTGGTAATTATAGTTATCCCAACCCACCAAATAGCTAGACAGAATAACAAATTTATAAGAAAGGTAATTTGTAACAAGTCATTTGAGATGTTTCGTACTGCTAACTCGAGTTTAAATTCGAATTGCGTGAATTTCAACTCGAGTTAACTCGAGTCGTTATTTTTCCGAGTTGGCACTTCTATAAATGCGTTTTGCTACTTCCTTTCCTCTTGTTTTTTATATTCCGTGACCGACACGATAGTTGCCATTGTGCATACAAAAGATGCAATAAAAGATTGTGTAAAATTTGCGCCAACAAAAAATATGCTTAGGGCTAATCTGTCCAAAAATAAGTTTAAAAACTTTTGATGGTTAACTTTTTTTCTTAATATTATAAACTCCGGGAAAAAATTCACTACAAAAAGAGGAATTTCACTATTAAAAGGGGATTTTTCAACTTGACGCGGGAATTTAACAAAACTGTCTGTGGCAACACTGGTCGTTAGTTCGTGTTCGTGATCGAGATCGTGACAGATTATAGTTGGTTTCGTTGGCCGATTGTTCTGTCTCTCAAAGGAATTATTTCCATAAAAATTAAATTACAGTTAATATTATTGAACTTATAAAGTAAGTATATTTATTTTCTCTAGGTCGCTATATAACTAATTGTTATAAGTTTTTTAAACCCTTCAATGCATTCCACTTATTGATCGATCTAGTAACCTTACAAAATTCTATTTTTACTGCAATGTGAATATTGTAATACTTTCTGATCACAGGCCATCTACTTTTAAAGTTCTAATATATTCTCATTTATACTTTTTTTGATATTTGCCCGTTTTACTAATTTCACAAACTTACGTAATGATGTCATAACGACATGCACCTTTGAATTCCCTACTGACATTGATCTTGACACAGTTAGACAAAAATATACTTGGTCTTTAACGATTGCAATGGAATTAAATCTCATGCATCATACATTGCCAACATTCGTATTTTATATATATATATATATTTTTTTGCTATGTATTATGTAACACGTGCACTCATTTATTTTAAGGTTTTATCTCATTAACCCTTTATATATTTTCTAGTTAAACAATGGGTGTACCTGCGGGTAATGCTGAGAATGGAAAAAAAATATTTGTACAGAGATGTGCCCAATGTCATACTGTAAGTGTCATATTTATTACATCATACACAAAGCAACCATTATTTTAATTTAAAAAACTATTGTTTTTATTTAATTATATTTTTTACATTCATGATGGCATACACCATTATATGTATGCATGTACCTAGTAAGTTTTTTATACTTATATATTTTTTATTTTATATAGTTATTTTATTTTAAATTTGCTGCTTAAGATTTTACAAAACATACAATAATTAAAAAGAAATTTGTAATAGAGTTGAATCTCCCTATTTTATACGTGGTAGAGCCATGCTGCAGCTATATTAGTAGTATAGTTATAGCACGAATGGGTCGGCTCGACCGAGGAAGGACCACACTCTCACAGAATACCAGCATAACACTGCTGTGTTTCATATGGTGAGTGTAGAGAACCGGAGACCCTTTTCACTAGAAAAGGGACATTCCATCTTAGTCCTCATGGATGACAATGCATCTCCATTTTGATTCGCAAATTAGGATAAGTGTAGATGTCTATGGGTCACAGCAACCACTTACCATCAGGTGGACTGTGTGCTCGTATGTCACCTTATCCTATAAAAAAAAAGAATATTTGAATTTAAATGCTTATTTTCATTACATCTCCATATATTAGAAACTAGCTGTTCCCCGAGACTTCGTTCGCGTGTTAGGGTTTTTATGTTTCTGCGCGGAACCCTGATTCTTTTTCTAAAATAAAAGTAGCCTAAGTTACTCCTTATGAAATCAGCTATCTGCCAGTGAAAGTCCCGTCAAAATCGGTCCAGCCGTTTCGGAGATTACCCGGAACAAACAGACAGACAGACAGACAAAAATTTTAAAAATTGTATTTTAGTTATAGGTATCGTATTTACTTTCATATGCATTTAGTAAAAAACTGTAATTTTGACATTACAAACAGACACTTCAATTTTATTTATTTGAATAGATATGTTTTTATTGTATCTAAATATTTTACTTATTAAATTATATTTGCCATGTGTACTATTTTTGTGTATACAAGTTTAAGAAAATATATTTTTGACTATTGAGTAGACATAAACACTAAAATTCCTTGCAATGAACATTTTAAGCTTTAGTTCTTAAATGCAAAACTGACGGAGACGATAGCTATGTGACAATGTGAAATTATAGCAATTACACTTCCCTCCAGTCGCACTTGAGTAACGGTTACAAAGAGCATTATTTATTGAGCATTATATTATTACTTATTGCCTTTAGGCATTACCTACTAATCTACTAGATTGCATTGAATAGGTACATGAGAACCACTTATATTAAACAAAATTCATTCATAAAAGCCTATCAAAAGTCCACTGTTGTACATAGGCCTCTCCTAAAGATTGCCTCATTAAGAGGATATGATTGGTAATTCAACTGTTTGGATACATTCACTGAATCAATCGTGACAGATCAATCTAAAAATTGATTCCTTAACACCAAATAATTTATTTTTCGATTACTTGATCTAGGGACATATTTTAAAAAGCCACTAGGGTGTAGCATTATTGTATATCAATAATTAAGACCAAAATCACTAATGAAATCATGCCGCTGGACACTAAACCCAACTCTCTTATAATTACAGGTTGAAGCTGGTGGCAAACATAAAGTAGGTCCAAACCTTCATGGCTTCTTTGGACGTAAAACCGGCCAGGCGCCTGGTTTCTCATACTCAGATGCTAATAAATCCAAAGGTAAGTTTTATATTACTATCACCAGTAATATGTCTCATGTTTAACACAAGCTATTTAGTGGTTTAGTTAAGTATCTAGTTTAGTGTCTATAAATAATTCTTCTTTTTTCTTTTAGTAGAGTCTGGCTGAATATAGTTTTTGGTTTAGGTTTTGCTTGATTTTACTCAAAACAAGCATTTTCAGCTATTTTTCGTTATAATTTATTGTTTTTCGTTATAATTTTTGACTGCGCTTTGTTTCTTGTTTGTATTTTTAATAGTAAGCGCCTATGAAATATTCTTAAATTACCCTCTGTCTTTTTTATATTTTGTGCAAGATTTTATATTCATATTTAATATTTAATGTAAGTCCACAGATATGTTATGCCTACTCAAAACCCATTTTCTTTTTTTTTTCTTTTATGTTTCTCAGTAAGTGAGTGTATACTCTTTTGGGAAATAAATTTCTTAAACCTCAATTTTCATATGCCAAAAAAAAAAAAACAAAATACTATAATTACAATTATTCAGTTCATGTTAATTTTTTGCAGACAGACATAGTAATTTATTAGTAGAAAATGCAGAAAAAGGACTATCCCTTACAATTATAGTGTCAGAGAATCTCACTCATAAAAAAAATGATGTCAATATATAAAATGTTTAAAGTAGCTCTCCCTTTTGTTTTTATATGACAATAAAAGAAACATAATAAGAGATAATTAATATTTAATGTTAGTACAAGTGATCAATATTATAAGTATTTAAAGCCAAGATATTTATTATAGTGATAAAATTTAAACACACACATACACTTTAAGATTGTTGACTACTTTTTTCAGACTTGACAGGCAATTAGTCATTATAATGCACCTTTATTTTAGAGTTAATAGATCATACACCTTTACTTTTTATTTCCAGGTATCACATGGGGTGAAGAAACACTCTTTCTATACCTTGAAAATCCAAAGAAATACATCCCTGGTACCAAAATGGTCTTTGCTGGTCTGAAAAAGGCAAACGAAAGGGCAGATCTCATTGCATACCTCAAGGAAGCTACAAAGTAATATTGAAACAATTAGGGGAAATAACCATTAAATGAGATGGGAGTTCCATTTATAATGGAAATTGTTTCTCATTTTTAGGCCAATCAGTATCATTAATATTTATTGTATTATATTATGTTCGTATGACGAAGCTATAGAAAATATTAGTTTACAAAATGTTCATTTTTAATGCCATCAGTGAGTGTACAAGTTAATTGTATGCACAGATAATATCAATGCTTAGCATTATAATGTTGTGAACGTTTTTTAATGTTATTAAATTATTATTAGACATCCTCATAACAACTTTTATTTGTAATTAACTTAAGTGATATATGTACTCATATCAAAAAAATTTGGTAATTTCTGTTGGTTCCTACATATTGTTACCAGTTAAAAGTAAATAAAATTGGTTCATTTAAGTTTAATAAATAATTTCAAAATTATTACAAACAGTTTTAAATCGATCACCTAATAATTTTGGTTTTGTTAAAAAGTGTAATCTTCGTAAATTGTATAATATTATCGCAGCACAGACAGGTCATCGTGTTTTTCCAAATTTTCGCCAGATGCTAGTGTGCAGCTGAGGTGGTCGAAAGAAAAAATATTTTAATATGTTATAACTATTTTTACGAATTTAAATACCTGCTAACTCCAAAGTTTATGATTATAATGGAAAAAGGCTTAAATAACTAATTAAAACAAGAAAATAATAATTTATGTTACCTCAAAATTGAATATGTAACTACTCAATGTCGGTAAGGCATTTTTAGTTGCAGACCCAGGTGAATGCAGACAATATTTGAATGTATCTAAGCAATCCTTAAACATACCCAAACTATGAGTAGTCTAACCCACAATTTTTGTATTTTAAAATATTGTATGAAATCAATATTACTCTTGACATTATAATTCTGACCGAATGTTGGTTAAAACCGAAGTATTTTACCAAATCTTTCAAATTATACATCATTTACAACAACAAAGAAAATAAATTAAAATGGTGGAGTAGTGGTGTATATGTATTATACGTCATTTCTCAAAAGTGTAAAAGTTACTGTACCTGATATTGATAATGCAAAAAGCTTACTTATTCAAGTAGGATCTGAGATAGCAATAGTTGGCATTTATAAACTCCCAAGTTGTTACGCGATAGAAGATTTCCTGTATTCACTCCATAAATTATTATTAAATCTAAAACCAGTTCAGAATATAATTTTAATAGGTGATATAAATTTAGACTCCAAAGAGGGCTCCACTAACAATAGGTCGTCTGATTATCTTAATCTTTAAGGAATGCACGGACTATTACCAGATTCAGACAGCTTGGGTACCTTGTTGGATATGTATATATCCAATAAGGTACCCAAGCTGTCTGGATCATTATTAAATCTGTAAGGCAGTACAGTCGGCTGTGAATCCACTATAACAGAACATAGTTACGTAATAATCTCATTGCAATACAAAAGTAGCTGTAAATATAATAAAGAATCACGTACGCTCGTTAGTGGATTACCAGGCAGCATTACTAAAGAACTTTACGAAACAAACTGGTCTGAGATATTTTCAAATGGTGATGCCAACCAAATCGCCTCTAACTTTTTACTACAACTCTCAAAAATTGTAATGACACTATCAAGTACACTGTATCAAATAGAAAATTTACTATTAAGCCCTGGATAACACCAGGTCTACTTCGGTGCATTAGATTCAGGAATAAAGTACATCTTCAAATAAAAAAGTATCCAGATGATAATAAATTGTGTGTACTGCAATAAGCTTTAAAAAAAATGAAAAAAAAAAGAAATAGCGGGAAATAAAAATGACATTAAAAAGACCTGGAAAACTAAAGAAAATTTGCAATATAGAACAAACAAATCACATAGCGATATGTCACGTTTAAACTCAAGTCCCTTGAAATCAGCAAATTGTATAATTAATAAATATTTCGTTAATAAGGGTCGATCATTAGCCTCGTCAATACTTGATAAATTAAATTTGACCGAGGATATAATAAGTAATATGCGTAAAAATAGTAACTTTAAAAGTAACTCTTTTGTATTAACACTAACCGATGAAAAAGAGATTAAAAATATTATTCTATCTCTAAAAAATAGCTCTTCATGTGGCTGGGATGGTATAACAGCAATATTCTTAATAAAACTGTTGACATTTTCTTATATAGCTCACCTTTTTAATATATGTATGGAAGCAGGAATATTTCCCAGTGTTCTTAAAAGGTCTTTAATTGTACCTGTATATAAATCCGGGGATAGAGGCAGTATCCATAATTAGAGATCTATTGCGTTATTGCCCTCATCATCATCATTACAGCCTTTCATAAGTCCACTGCTGAACATAGGCCTCCCCCAAGGAATGCCACAAAGCACGGTCCTGAGCCACCTGCATCCATCGACTTCCTGCATGTCTTACCAGGTCGTCACTCCATCTAGTGGGGGGTCGCCCTACACTTCGCCTACCGGTATGAGGCCGCCACTCGAGAATCTTTTTTCCCCAACGGTTGTCGGTTCTTCGAGCTATATGGCCGGCCCATTGCCACTTCAGCTTACTAATCCGTTGGGCTATGTCGGTTACTCTGATTCTACTGCGGATATTCTCATTCCTAAGTTTATCACGCAGAAAAAGGAGCATAGCCCTCTCCATAGCACGCTGAGCGACCTTGAGCTTCCTCATATGGCCAGCAGTGAAGGACCACTGCTCAGATCCGTAAGTCATCACTAGCAACACGCACTGGTTGTACAATTTCGTTTTAAGGTTTTGAGGTATGTCTAACGAGAAGATGTGTCGTAGCTTCCCGAACGCTGCCCAGCCGAGTTGAATCCGTCGATTGACCTCTCGGTCGTAGTTGGACTTACCTAGTCGGACTATTTGTCCCAGGTAAACATACTCGTCAACAACTTCGAGCTTAGTGCACCCAACAACTACCGGCATAGGTGTGACATGGACATTAAACATGATTTTTGTTTTGTCCATGTTCATCTTAAGACCTATCCTTTGGGAGACACTATTGAGGTCATTGAGCATAGTGCTTAGGTCCTCCAGCGATTCTGCCATAAGGACTATATCGTCGGCAAATCGAAGGTGAGTGGTGTACTCGCCATTGATGTTGATACCGCATCCTTTCCAGTCCAGCAGCTTGAAAACGTCTTCCAATGCAGGGGTGAAGAGTTTCGGGGATATAACGTCACCCTGTCTTACACCTCTCTGCAATTGGATAGGTTTCGTACTCTGATTCTGTACTCGGATAGCCATCGTAGCTCTACTGTACAAACACTCCAGCACTTCGATATACCGACAGTCAACAAGGCACCACTGAAGGGACTGCAGCACCGCCCAAATTTCGACGGAATCAAAGGCTTTCTGATAGTCCACATACGCAAGGCAAAGTGGCAGATTATACTCCTCTGTCTTCTGTATAATCTGCCGAAGGGTGTGTATGTGGTCTATGGTACTAAAGCCTTTTCGGAAACCGGCTTGTTCAGGAGGCTGGAAGTCGTCAAGTCTGCGTGCGAGACGATTCGTAATGACTCTCAAAAACAGCACGTAGACGCGGCTCAGCAGGGAAATCGGTCTGTAGTTCTTCAAGAGAGCGTTGTCGCCTTTCTTGAAGAACAAGACCACCGCATTTCTGATCCACGCCTCCGGAGTAGTGCCACCATGGAGGACAGAATTAAAGAGCTTCTGAAGAACGTCAAGTACCGGTTTTCCACCCGCTTTCAAAAGCTCCGCTGTAATTCCGTCCTCGCCCGGAGACTTTCCGTTTTTAAGGTGCTTGAGAGCCATTCTAATTTCGCTCAGACTGACGTCCGGGAATCGTGTCCGAAGATACGGAATAGTATCGGATAAGACTCGCTCTTGGATCGTTACACTTGCGTGTGGCTCCAACGATGACGTGTACAGCTGCCCATAGAACCTCTCAATCTCACTCAAAATCTCAGGTGTCCCGGAAACGATGCTGCCACACTCGGTCTTCAGCTTTGACAGTTGGCTCTTTCTGGCAGACAGATCTCGTGCAAAGACTTTGGAGCCTTGGTTCCGCTCGATCGCTTCTTCAATACAAGGTGTATTGAAGTTGCGTAAGTCCCGCCGCATGCATTTGGAGATCTGTCTGTTCAGTTGCTTGTATGCTGTCAAATCTGTTGAAGAATGTAGCTTCATCTCCCGTCTAACAGCCATGAGATTAAGAGTGTGATCGAAGAGTTTTTGTGTTCTGCGGCGAGTCTTGCAAAACGTTTCATCTTGCAAAACATTCATATCGTCCACTTCATTGCAGTTTTCTAGGTACTGAAAACGGTTTTGTAACTCGAGCTGAAAGGTTTCGAGACTTTGGAACAGAATACGAGGGGGACGGAGCGATGACTTCATTAGATGAGACCTCTCCAACTTAACGTTTAGGTTCAGTGTGCCTCTAACCATTCGGTGATCGCTACCAGTTTTCACCCTCGCGATCACGGAGACATCACTGAACAGTTGTCGTTTGGTCGTCATAATGAAGTCTAATCTCATTTTTTGTCGAACCGTCGGGGCTCGACCAGCTCCACTTCCTGTGAGGCCACTTCTGGAAGAAAGAGTTCATCATAAAGAGTCCCTCTTTCTCCATGAAGTCGGCCAGCTGCTGGCCCCTTGGGTTCCCTTGTCCTATTCCAAATTTCCCTACTTTCAGCTCACCGTTCTCTCTTGTGCCTAGTTTTGCATTGAAGTCTCCCATTAACACCGTATAGTGGGTTTTGGAGGAATGCATGGCTCTAGAGATATCCTCATACATTTCCTCTACCTCCTCATCGGGGTGTGCTGAGATTGGTGCGTAAACCTGTATGACCTTCAGCGAATACCGTTTGGTGATTCTGATTATAAGGTACGCAACCCTCGCCGACACACTCTCAATCTTTACAACGTTGTTAACGAGAGACTTGTGGACAATAAATCCGACACCTCCTTGGGACAGATGGTCGCCCTCCCGGTGATGGAGCAAGTTACCGGATTCGAGGATTACCATGTCC